AGACACACACACACACACACACACACACGCACACACACACACACACACACACACACACACACACACACAGATAACGCGCCATAAAGGGTACATGTGCGTGTATGTGCGTGTGTGTGTGCAAAGTAGAAAGAAAGAAAGAGAGAGAGAGAGAGAAAGAAAGAAAGAAAGAAAGCTCACAGAAAGAGGTCACAGTCATGTACACATACAAATCTTCCGCACCAGGAATGAGAGGCAGACTTCGCGTTGGCGCCTGCCATGCATTGCCGCATGCTCGGGCTTTTCCTTGAGGATCCACGAGTAGTCGCCTGGTGGAAGATGATGGATGGCGGGACACCAGTCGGGTTACGAGACAGGCAACAGCATGGTAGCTCAACGGAGCATGCGAGCATTCACACACGCACACATGCACACGAACGCACCACGCGGGCACACACACACACACACATGCACACACATGCACACACACTAACATGTGCATACCAAGTGGGAGCTGCCTGACTTCGCATTGGATGCCTTGCTCCGCGAGAGAGCTGTGCATGATGGCGCCACGATCCTTCTTGCGGACTGCACGTCAGGACAGGCACGAGAACAAGAACAGCAACAACAGCACCACCACCACGAGGTTGTGAGAATGAAGAAAGCAACAGCAGCGTGAGAGCCACAGCGCAACTCCGCTGTCGACACTTTCTGCTTGCCTCGATGCATTGCTTGTGCGGTCACACTTTACCAGCGCTGTCGCGCTTGTTGTTACCATTCACCTTCACCATCACCATCATCATCACCATCACAACCATTCGCCATCATCACCATCACAACCATTCACCATCACCATCATCAACGGCAACGTATGGACTGCACCTTGGTTCTCGCGGTTGTCAATGAGCAGCACGACCTCGTACGTGTCCGGCGCCATTGTGTAGTCCCTCGTTGCCCTTTGCGCCATCGCCGCTCCAATCGACTCCCGCGCAGCACTCGCTGCTGTTGCTGTGCCGGTTGGCGTATGGGGTAAGGTATTATGTTTGGCAGCAGAGGTGTGTTTAGGTGGCTGAGCTCTGCTGTTGTCGTTGCGACGATGCTGTTCCGCTGTGGTCCAGTCATCATCACGTTCCTGCTTCACATCCATTGGCACCGCCACACCGCGACCGTCGCCATCACCATCCTCGCCAGCATCAAATGCACCACCATACAGCATCGGCCGAAGACCAGAACCACCGTGGCCATCATCATACCAGCTGTCATCAAAAGCAGCGCCGCCACCAAGACCAAAACCGCTGCTACCATTACCATCATCATTGTTGTCGTCATCATCGTCGTCCAGAATGACAAGCGTCTCTGCCTCTGGGGCGCGTGTTCCTGCTGCTGCCGGCTGCTGCTGTCTCTGTTGCTGGCGGTGGCTTGATCGCCGATGTGTACTGAATGATGACGACAGCGATGCTGACGCTGACGATGATCCCCGTGATGCTGGTGCTGCTGCTGTTGCCGTTGCTGATGACGGTGTTCTTGGTGTTGTTGCTGTTACTGTTCTTGATGTTGTTGCTGTTACTGTTGTTGCTGTTGGTGCTGTTTCTGTTGTTGCTGATGACGTTGCTGCTGATGCTGCTGCTGAGGGTGCTGTATTTGGTGCTGATGCTCGTGCGGTTGTAAAAGAAGATGGTATGGACGCTGCCATCCCCATTGATGAAAGCAGTTCAATCGCAACAGATGCCGGTGTGCACTTTGCCGGCTGTTTGCGCCCGCCTCTCGCCGCTATCGCTGCCCCTTTTGCCGCAAGCGTCGTCCCCCAAGATGTTGCTGATTGCTGTACTGACGGTGACGTGTTCACCGGGCGCGCTGCTGTTGTTGCTGCTGTAGCTGTGACTGCTGTTGTTGCCGCTGCTGCTGTTGTTGCTGCTGACGTTGGTTCTGATCGCCTCTTGCGCCCTCGTCTTCCTACCTGCGATGCATTGCTGTTGCTGCTGCTGCCCTTCCTCCCTCTCCCCCTCGTGCTATTCGTGGGTGGAAGTGTTCCCATAGGCGATGGCGGTGACGGCGGTAGTGCGGCCGTCACGTGGGGAGACGTGGGCGTGGGCGTGATTGACTGATGCTGCTCCCCCTCTCGCTGCTGAAGCGTCTCCGCAATGTCCCAGCCTGCCCCTGTCAACGTGTACCTGGAGTGAAGCGCACGAGGTGGTGATTGATTGGTTGGTGAATAAAAGCGCACTCTCGTATGCAAGCACGTTGATGAGCGGGCCATACTAAAGGAAGCACACCACAGCGCAGCGCCCAAGACACCTACTGGCTCGTTTGTTCACTCTCTGGCGCACTCACTTTGCTGGGTTGCTGTACTTTGCTACCCAACCCTTGCGAACCATCTGTGAAACACAGGACCATGCAGTGTAGTAACCCGTGTTGCCCTCTGCACGCGTGTAGGACGTGTTGCAGAATGGCTGTGCCGCGGATTGAAGCTCCTTCTTCAACAAGTACGATCCACGCGCTGCAAACTCGTCCGACTGCAACAGTGTGTGTGTGTGTGTGTGTGTGTGTGTGTGTGTGTGAATGTGAATGTAAATCAAATGATCAAAGAGACATTCCGGTAAATCTCATGTGTCGACACAAACAGCAACAGTTGCTCACCTCGCGAGCCTTGAGAAACGCCATGAAAATGCCGTATGCGCCTAGTGGTGACGATCGCAGAACGGCTGTGAGATGCTGCTGAATGTTCACGCACGTTCGCCATCACATCGCCATCACATCGCCACACAGAGAAGCACGCAGATACGAAAGACAATTCAAACAGGCATGCGCACACAAACACTCACACACACACACACACACACACACACACACACACACACACACACATACACACACACACACACACACACACACACACATACGCACGCAAACACAGGCACACACGCACCTGATCCTTGTGCAGGAAGCCGCGGACCAGACGTGCGAGATTTCTTTGCTGGCGTTTTTGCCTTTGGCGGCCGCCGCTTCCCCGTAGAACGAGGCGGTGACAAGGGAAAGTCGTAGTCGTTCGCTGGCCCTGCCGCTGTCGTCGGCCGCCGCGTGCTCACAGGGGACGAAGCAACTTTTGAGCTCATGCCACCAGTGGTGGCGCTCCCGCTCCCGCTGCTGAAGGTGCGTGCGATGCGTGAAGCATGTGCGGTGTGTTCTGGGGTGCTCACGCTCCCCGCTGTGTGTGAGCGAGAGGGGACGGAAACGCTGCCACGTGCAACAACGAAGCGGGACGGCGTTCGCTCACGAGGGGTCACCCGTGATGATGGCGGCGTTGCTGGCACGGTGGGGCTCGCAGTGCTCATTCCAAGGCACGGAGGCAAATCGTCCTCATCATCATTATCAGCGCTGGCGGTGCTGCCGAAGTGGCTGTCGACATGGGTGCTCAGATAGCTGCGTGAGGGCTCCTCATCGTTGACAACAACTGCGATGCCGTCGCTGTCATTGTCGTCATCGCTGTCGTCACACAGCACAATCGGGGAGGAAGCGCTGGAGGGTGCGCTGTGCTTGGCTGGAGGTGCTGGCAGCGACGTGTTTCGTGACACTACATTCGCAGCAGGAGTGCTAACGGCTTCACCTTCCAGCTTTGTTTTCAAGAAGGACAATATGAAAGGCCCGACGCCTTTCACGGCCTGGTCAACACCGCAGCGCATGTGTGTGAGTGTGTGAGAATGTATGTGGCGTGAGAATGTATGTGGCGTGAGAATGTGCGTGGCGTGAGAATGTGCGTGGCGTGAGAATGTGCGTGGCGTGAGAATGTGCGTGGCGTGAGAATGTGCGTGGCGTGAGAATGTGAGTACATGTGTGTGTGTTTGTGTGTGTGTGTGTGCGTGTGTATGCATGCGTGTGCGTGTGCGTGTGCGTGTGTGAGTGGGCGTGGCGATGTGTAAAGCGCACAAGCACCTACAGCATTCCCCCGCTCACGGCAAAACCCATGCACGGAAACATCGCACCTTGAGATCGTCTGCATGTGTGATTGGCTGTTTCCACGCCTGGATCGCTCGCGCCGCACGACGATAGCTGTGTCGGATCGGCTCGCTTCCGGCCTGTGTTCGGCATGTGCCATGAGTTCCTCGAAGTGTACACACAATTGAGGAGACGAGCACACACACACGCACACACACATGCACGAACGACGCAAGCACACACACAGGCGAGCAAACACGCACACACACTCGAACACACTCACTCGCACACTCACTCACGCGAACACACTCACTCGAACACACTCACTCGCACACTCACTTACGCGAACACACTCAAACAAAACACACACGCACCGATCTGGACGCGGTCAGCAGCCACTTGGCGCACAACTCGTTCATCAGCGTTACCGCGTCTCCGAAATTTGACTATATCACCATCAAATCCTCAGTAACCATCATCCTCACAAGGAAGGAGCAAACGCATGCGCATTCACAGCACGTTGCACCCCGAACCCACACCACACATCTCCCAGTCTCTCATCCCCCCTTCACCCCGATGGGAGTGTGTGGCAGCAGTGGGCACGGGCTCACGATGCCCCTTAAGTGCTTGTTGCTGTCATCAGTCTGGCTTCTCGTCCTGGCAGCTCCCCTGACCGTCACGGACGCTTCAGCAATCAACGGCGACTTGGACACGCACACCTTCGCCAAGAAGAAGACTGGCGCACGCTCTCCTCCTTTGTCGCCTTCGAATCCGCACACCACCTGCAGCCCTAACGCCGCATTGGCATGCTTGGGCATCAGCGCACGTGAACACAACAAGCTGTGTGGTCAAGCAAAAGTTGCATTGGTGAGGGCACAGGATGACACACCTGAGGCTCAAGCACTCCTTACCATCGTCGCACACTTCTGCAGCGTGGCACACCAAGGCGCCAGACACATCAAGGAAGCCGCTCTCCTAACAAGCACAACGACACCAACACCCCAGCCCACTCCTGATCGGAAACGACGCCCAGTTGCCGTTAATCGCCACTCCGACTCCGACCTACCACCACCACCACCACCATCATCATCATCATCAGCAGCATCATCATCATCATCATCATCATCATCATCAGCATCATCATCATCACACACTTCAAACGCGCGCAACCATACGCACCCAATGCAATCGCGCGTGCGGCGAGAAGACCCATTTGATCCTGAGAACCCAACATGCACACTATCAAGCATCCTCAAGCGCAACTGCAGCTATCCTCCTTCCACGTTGCCCACAGCCACCCTGGAGATTGTGTTTGACACCTCCTTGGAGGAGGGCCCGCTGGTGACAGACGCGCGAGAGAACAAGGGCGCCGATGACGTTGCAGCCGCCTCACAGTACCTTCAAGCTCAGACAGCCACGTGGCGCCCGCGCAACCTGCGCCTGTCCGGCGTGGTGCTCGAGGACGACCTGCGGTGGGTGCTGGACAGCGGAACGTGGGACCGAGCTGCTGAGCTGATCATCAACGGGATGGAGGTGCCCGCCCTTCACCTCAACATACTCAACCCCCTGCCTGTGCTGCAAGGGCTTCAGATCACCCATGGTCACGTCAATCGCGTGGCCCTGCGTCGCAACGCGAGCGAGCAGCCATTTCTTCGTGCAGCCTTTCTGCGAGAGCTGCGTCTCAACTTTCTCAGCATTCGACACATCAGCAGCGACGCATTTGCCGGCATGGAGCGTGTCGTCACCCTCGACCTCTACGCAAACCAGCTCACCACCATCACCAACACCACCCTGGCCAGCATGACGCAGCTCAGCATTCTGCTCCTTCGCCAGAACCACATCAGCAGCATCCACGACAACGCGTTTGCACAGCTCACGCTCCTGCGCACCCTTAACCTCGTTGAGAACGACCTCACACTTTTTCCCGCACGCGCCTTTGCAAATGGCCTTTCCAACCTGGTTGCCCTGCAACTCTGGAGCAACCCCATTGGCGCGCTTCCACCGCTCGCCCTCGCGCCCCTCGTCAACTTGCAGCGCATCTTCCTGGACAAGTGCGAGATTGGCCATGTCCCAGCGTCTGCCTTTCAACACAATACACGACTGACACACATCAACCTGAGCAGAAATAAACTTTCCAGCCTTCCGCCCGGAATATTTGCGTCGCTCACGCGGCTGGCGATCGTCCGACTGGAGGGCAACGCGCTGCGACGTGTCGACCGTGCGTGGTTTGCCGACGGTGCCCTGGCGTTGGAGCAGCTGACCGTGTTCCAGAACCAAATCACACACGTGGATGCTGAGCTGCTCCCAACCGCACCGGCGCTGGCAAGCCTGCAAGCACAGCACAACCTGCTCGACGCCACCATTTTGCATTCCATTCACGACCACCCGCGACTGGCAATCCTTGACCTTGCCTTCAACCGCATCTCCACCGTCCCTCATGGCACGCTCACCAACCTCACACAGCTCTTCTTGCTGAGCCTGAGCCACAATGGCCTCACCCGATTCCCCGCACGGTCGTTCCCGCAATTGGACGCGCTCCTATTGGACGGAAACCCGCTCACAACTGCACCGGCTGTGCGGGGCACCCAACACCTAGCTGAGCTCGCCATCACTGGCCACCGCATTGCCAAGATTGACATGACCCCACTCCTGCAGCTCACACGCCTGCATCGCCTGGACCTGGCTGCTGCAGCAACCCCACTGTCCCCGCCTCCTGTCGTGACGATCCGCAGCGAATCGGACCAGCTGCGCCCGTCAAGCCGGTTCCGTGCACTCGATGTCCTCAACATGGACGTGACGCAGCCGCTCTCTGCGCTCATCGCAAGCCACGCCGTCACGCTGGACGAGCTGTCCCTTGGCTGGAGTGGCATGGACGAGACCACTGTGGCCGTGGACGACATCTGTGCGCTGCTGTCCGACACAGTCTCGCGCTTTGAGCTGTCCAACACGGCATTCACGCACGTGCGCCTGTGCGATGGCGTCGCCTATGACGCCGTCTTCCTCCAAGACAACCTGCACCTGCAGAGCGTGAGCAGTGTCGGCGGCGTGCAGCAGCTCAACGTGTCCGGGTGTCCACGTCTGCAGCAGCTGCAGGTGCCGTCAGCAGAGGTGCTGGACATCAGTGGCACACGGGTGCCGCTGTTCCGTGGACTGTGCACGTCGCTTGGAACACGCACGGTTGTTGCACGCAACTGGCAGACTGGGGACTTGACAAACACAGCACGCTTGCGGCAGCTGCTATCCCAGTGCTTGGCGTTTGGGGGTGTGGATGTGCTGGACCTGAGCAACAATGCGCAGCTCAATCGACCCAGCGTCGTGAACAGCGTGGTTGCGAACGTTATCGTCTTGGGAGAGGACGAGACATACCTGGGCGATGACTTGGTGCCCCTTGCAGGCCGCTCCACCACTTCCTTTTTCCAGCTCGCCAACAACCCCATCGCGTGCCAGCTGCAGTTTGTAAACTTGCACACGCGCCAGTCGGCCGTGGTTCGTCAGGTCAGATTTCGACAGGTGGGCTACCTGTACACGTGCCAGTGTGCGCAAGGGTACGAGCATCGCGGTGGCCGCTGTCGTGTGATCGAGCGTGACAACACAGCAGCGGTGCTGGGCACGCTGGCAGGCTTGTTGGCGTTCCAGGGTATCCTGTTCGCCGCGTACCGCACATACACACGACAGCGACGCCTGCAGGCGGACAACGCGCTGAAGGAGCAGCTGCTGGTGGAGCGAGACGCGGAGGTGATGGCACTGAAGAAGGTGTGGGAGATCGAGTACGATGAGCTGAGGATGATCAAACGGGTTGCTGCGGGTGCGTTTGGCGTGGTGTTCAAGGCACAATGGGACACAGTCACAGTGGCAGTGAAGGTGCTGCAGCAAGGGGTGATGATGTTTGACGAGAGCACGGTGGTTGAGTTTGAGAAGGAGGTGGAGTTCTTGCAGCGGACACGGCATCCACACGTGGTGCGGTTCTTTGGGGCGGGCACCGATCCCAACGGCAGCCCGTTCCTTGTGCTGGAGTTTGTGGCGATGGGGTCGCTCAAGGACTTGTTGGGCAAGGACATGGCGCGGGTATTGCAGGAGGTTGCAGAGAGGAACAATGATGATGATGCTGAAGGAGAAGAGAGGGAGGAGAAGGCAGAAGGGATGGCGGGGGTGTGGGAGCTGAAGCTGCGGCTGTTGCGCGATGTTGCGAGTGGGATGGCCTTTATCCACAGTTTGGATCAAGTGCACAGGTGTGTGTGTGTGTGTGTGTGTGTGTGTGTGTGTGTGTGTGTGTGTGTGTGTGTGTGTGTGTGTGTGTGTGTGTGTGTGTATGTGTGTGTGTATATATATATATATATGTGTGTGCGTGTGTGTGTGGCGTTGGTCATTGTTGTGTAACTGCGGGTCGTCACCATCACTTAACACACACACATTCACACACACCATCACTGAACACACACACACACATTCACACACATTCGTAAACACACACACACACACATTCGTAAACACACACACACACATTCACACACACATGCATGCACTGCAGGGATCTGAAGAGCGGCAATGTGCTGGTGTCATCGCGACTGCGTGCCAAGATCACGGATTTCGGATCCATTCGCCAGTGCCTCGCGGGTGGCACCGCAAACGTGCCAGCCACTCCAGCTGCACGTGCTGGTGACCTGACGTACTCGCAGGCGGCGGGCACCGCGACGATGAACCCGAGCATGACAATGACGGCGGGTGTGGGGACGCCGCTGTACATGGCGCCGGAGGTGCTGTTGGGCGACAAGTACAACGCCAAGGCAGACGTGTTCAGCTTTGGGGTGCTGATGTGGGAGGTGGCGACACAGCGTGTGCCTGACTTGATTGAGCAGGAGAAAGGGAGCAACTTCCGTGGTCCCATGCTTGCCACTCTGAGCCAGCTGCTGCAGGAAGGGAGGCGCTTGCGGTTCGAAGATGGCGATGAGGAGGGTGAGTTCTGTATGTGTGCACGTGTGTGTATGTGTGTTGTGTGCGTATGCGTGTGTATGTGTGTGTGTGTGTCCGGTGTGCGCATACCTGTGTACTGTGTACGTGCGTGTGCAGTGTGCGCATGCCTGTGTATGTGTGTACATCTGTGTATCTTGGTTCACAATTGCGCATCTGTGTCTTGGTTGTTTGTTCAACTGTGTGCTGTCTGCTGCGTTGTACTGTGGCACTGCTGTGTTGGGGAACTCACGTGCGACTCATCTGTGGTTGACGACAACCAACACGGCATGTGCGTGCATGCAGTGCGTGACTGGTTTGTGCAGTTGACTCTCAAGTGTGTGGGCAACAACCCATGGGAACGGCCGTCGTTTCAAGAGTTGGAGATGAAGATGCATGTGAACAAGGGATGAGATTAGTGGCAGAACGTGTTTTGCCGTGGTTGTGATGCTTGTGCGTGTGTGTTTGCCTCTCTGCAAGCGACAGAGAGAGAGAGAGAGAGAGAGAGAGAGAGAGAGAGAGAGAGAGAGAGTGTGTGTGTGTGTGTGTGTGTGTGTGTGTGTGTGTGTGTGTGTGTGTGTGTGTGTGTGTGTGTGTGCAGCGTGACACAACGTTTGTTCGCTGTTGGTTGTGTTCTGCAATTTGCAATATCAACCGTCAAATTTCGTTTGGAGTTGTTGTTTGGAGCCTTTGTTTGAGCCATTGTGCTGCTCCTCTCCTTGTTGTCTACCTTCCATATCCGCCCATCTGCCTCCGCACATCGCGTCTCTTGCATACCACTACCAAGCCAGCAGCTCTTGAGCGCCCTCCTCCCCCCCCCATCATACTGCCCACAACAAGACAGCGACAACGAAAGCACAACCTCCACGCCTTTCACCCTCACTCATAGATACGAGGCGTCATGAGAAGGCACCTCCACGCATGTCCACTTGTCCTCCTAATCTTCGTCTTGTTTGTCCTCGCCTTGATCGGCTCCGGGGAGCTGCTTGCAGGCAAGGTCGAATCAATTCGCGCCCAAAGACAACACACGCTCAATGGTGCTTCCCACAGCAAAACAAGAAACACCACCGCAAGCAGTCACACCCTCGCCAGCCGTTGCCGACAGGCACAGGCGGAGGTGGCCCGTCTGCATCAGCTGCTGCACACGCTGCAAGAACTTGAAACACGGCCGAGGACACAAGAGCCGACTGAGCAGGAGCGTGGGCAAATGAACAACACGCTTGACATGGACTTTGTCACGACTCACCGCGAGACAAATACGACTTCAAAAGGCCACACACAGCACACAACACGCATACCCACGCCCTCGTTCGATGATGACACCACCCTCAAGCGCTTGGGGTTTCCTGCCCTCGACGACATACTTGCTGCCGCGTGCCCCGACCTCTTTGCCTCTTCGTCAGCCAACGACTCCGGCAACGACGGCAGCGACAGCGGTTTGCGATCCCGCCAACGAGCACGAACGTCAACACCACGATCTGATAGTGTTAACGACAGCAGCCGTGTCACGTTCGCATCCACGCATGCGCACAAGAGCGAGACGCCTATGTCCTCTGGCCTACCAAGAGTGTCAAGGCCCAGACGCGACAGTGAAAACACGCTTGGTACTGATGATATAGTCATCGATGAGGTGCCTTGTCGGCTGTCAACCCTCATCACCGAGGGTACTTGCCCACGACCAGTCCACACCCTCCCTCCTGGCTCACCCCTCTCGCTCCTCGTCGACGTGAACATGTTTGTGAACATGACAAACGCCACGCGGGCAAGCGCAGCTGCTGGACTTTTGCAGCTCTCGCTCACGGTGCGACCACGCACCTTCACCGTGCACGGCGCCAACTTCACCTTGGGCACCTTGTCCTGGGTATTGGAGAACGCCAACTGGGAGAGCGTCAGCACCATAAACGTTCGCGGTGTGGTCACCAACCATCTGCACCTCAGCATCTTCAACCCACTCAGCAATGTGACCACCATCGCTTTCGCCAACAGCACGATCGTCCACCTCTCGCAACGCGGTCCAAACGGCAACACCCACCCGCCCTTGGCTCGCGCGGCTCAGCTGACCCATCTTTTCCTCAACCACAGCCACATTGAGATTGTGCACCAAGGCACCTTCGCCGGCATGCAGTCGTTGGAGGTTCTCTCGTTTCACAGTAACCAGCTTACACACGTGGACAGCAGCCTGTTTGGGCATCTCCCCAGCATCCGCTTCCTCGATCTCGCCTTCAACAGCATCACCACAATCGCATCCAGGTCATTCAGCGCCCTGACCACGCTTGCATTCCTTGCGCTTCAGGGCAACGACGTGGAACAGCTGCCCGATGACATGTTCGTGGGCCTCTCACGCCTGCAACAGCTGAACATTGGTGGTCTACCACTCACCGAGCTTCACCCGCAACTCTTGGCGCCTTTACGGCAGCTGCGTTCCATCCGCATGCGTTTCCTGCAAGTCACCGCTCTCCCCGCCACCCTCTTCTCCAACAACCGCTTGCTTGAGACAGTCAACATGGAGCGCGGCCGCGTCCACACCGTCCCCGCCAACACATTCGCAGGCCTCAACAACCTCGACTTTCTCGAGCTGTCGCAGAACAACATCCCCTTCCTTGATGCGGCCTGGTTTGGTGCCGGCGCGCCCAACCTGACGAGACTCTGGCTTGTGCAGAATGAGCTGACCGACATCTCCCCTAATCTCCCGGCACTTCTGCCGCGGCTAGAAAGCCTGGGCCTGCAGCAGAACATGCTCAACAGCATCCCTGCCCAGGTGCTACGCGACCATGACAGCCTCCGCATCATCGACATCAGCAACAACAGGCTGCGCTCCCTTCCCGCCGGCAGTTTTGAGCGGCTGCCGCTGTTGAAGCACATCAGCCTCGCCAGCAACAGGTTAACCACCCTGCCGTCGTTCCCGCTCCTCCCCAACCTTCAATCCATCCGCCTCAACGACAACCGGCTCAGAGAACTGCCCGACCTGCTGCAGTTCCCAGCCCTGAGGGAACTCTACTTCAACAACCACCGTGTGTCACACCTCAACCTCAATGCCGTCGTGGACCTGACGGAGCTGTGGCGCCTGGAGGTTGCCGCCCACCCAGACATGCCGCCAGCCACGATCAAGGTCGCGCCAACTGTCGGCAACAAGTTGGCAACGCCGCTGCGCGTGCTGGATGTGCGCAACGTGGACGTGCGTGAGGTTACGCCCCTCTTCTTCGACAATGTGCGCGTGCATCTTGGTGCTTTCTACGCTGGCTGGCCGGGCATGGACGAGGCGACCGTGCGAATGGAGGACATTTGCCGCTTCCTGAAGCCGCTTGACACCACCTTGCAGCTGACCAACACCGGGTACAAGCACCTCAACCTGTGCCCCGACCACGTGTTTGACGTGCTACTGCTGCAGAACAACCCGAAGCTGGAGAGCCTGCGTGTGGCATCGCCCGTGTCGCAGTTCAACGTGTCAGGCTGCACCAATCTGCACGAGCTGGCACTGCCAACCGCGGACATTCTCGACATCAGCGGCACGCGCGTGCCCCCCGTGCGCTCGCTGTGTTCCCAGTGGGGCAGCGAGGTGGTGGTGGCGAGGAACTGGAAAAGTGACGCGCTCATAGCATCGCGCGAGCGTGTGCGTTCGATGTTGGAACGGTGCTTTGTGTACAGCAACGTGCTGCTGCTTGATCTCAGCGATAACTCATGGCTCGACAAACCCGGGCTGGTTGAGGACGCTACACTCGACCTGACCGTCCTCTCGAGCGACGAAGTGCTGACGCGGCAGTTTGTTGCGCTGGACAACAGGGCCAACATACCCATTGTGGAGTTGACGGGCACGCCCATCTCGTGCCAGCTCGAGCTCACGCATTTGAAAACGCGTTTGACCTCCAATCTCTTGCAGCAGGAGTATCGATTGGCGTACTACCACGCCTGCGACTGTGCACGCGGGTATGCCCGCAGCGGCGGCCGTTGCAAGCCCGTGACACGCGACATCACAGCAGCGGTGCTGGGCACGCTGGCGGGCGTGTTTGCGTTCCAGGGCCTCTTGTTTGCTGTGTACTGGACGTACAAGCGGCAGCGACGCCTGCAGACGGACAACGCGCTCAAGGAGCAGCTGCTGGTGGAGCGAGACGCGGAGGTGATGGCACTGAAGAAGGTGTGGGAGATCGAGTACGATGAGCTGAGGATGATCAAACGGGTTGCTGCGGGTGCGTGTGGCGTGGTATTCAAGGCACAGTGGGACACGGTGACGGTGGCAGTGAAGGTACTGCAGCAAGGGGTGATGATGTTTGACGAGAGCACGGTGGTTGAGTTTGAGAAGGAGGTGGAGTTCTTGCAGCGTACACGGCATCCACACGTGGTGCGGTTCTTTGGGGCGGGCACGGATCCCAACGGCAGCCCATTCCTTGTGCTGGAGTTTGTGGCGATGAGGTCGCTCAAGGATTTGCTGAGGAGGGATCTAGAGGACGTGTTGGTGAAGGAGAAGAACAATTGTGGGGAAGACAATGCAGATCAGGGTGTGACTGCATCTGATGTCTCGGAGGAGCTGACGCTCGTGAGTACAGCTGCTTGCGGTCTACCCGGCTCAAGCATCTGGGACTTGAGAGTTCGACTCTTACGTGACGTCACCAGCGGCATGGCCTTTATTCACAGCCTCGACCAGATGCACCGGTGGGAATGTGTGTGTGTGTGTGTGTGTGTGTGCGTGTGTGTGTGTGTGTGTGTGTGTGTGTGTGTGTGTGTGTGTGTGTGTTGCGTGCGTGTGTGTGTGCGTGTGTGTGCGTGGTCTGTCAGCATGTGCGTCTGTAACCGCCCGCCTTCTCCTTCTACTCACCCGCCACCATCCCACCTCCAAAATTAACACCAACAGCGATCTGAAGAGCGGCAACGTACTCGTGTCATCATCGCTTCGCGCCAAAATTACGGATTTTGGATCCATCCGCCAGTGCTTGACGCGTGATAGGAACCAACAACAGCAACAGGGCACGCGCCTCTCTTCCACTTCCAGTCGCCATGACGATCCCCAGTACAGCCCGCGCACTGGACAGCAAACGATGACGAGTGTGTCGCTAACAGCTGGTGTGGGCACGCCGCTGTACATGGCACCAGAGGCACTGACAGGCGACAAGTACAGCTTTGAAGCAGACGTGTTCAGCTTTGGCGTGCTGATGTGGGAGGTGGCCACACAGCGCGTGCCTGACCTGATTGAGCAAGAGCTTGGGGCAGAGTATACTGGGCCGATCCTCGCCACACTCAGCGGCTTGATGGCGGACGGGAAGCGTCTCAAGTTTGACGATGGCAAAGACCTCGACGATGGTGAGTTTTCTTTGTGTGTGTGTGTGTGTGTGTGTGTGTGTGTGTGTGTGTGTGTGTGTGTGTGTGTGTGTGTGTGTGTGTGTGTGTGTGTGTGTGTGTGTGTGTGTGTGTGTGTGCAGTGCGCATATGTGCAGTGTGTGTGCCTGCGTGTGTGTTTGTGGCGATGTCACTCGAATATGATGTCTACAAGCACCACGTTTCCCTTTCTCATACGTTCTACCTGCATGCATTGTACCATGTTACATGCACGCAGCAGCCCTTCCCGAGTGGTTCAAGGCATTGACATACGAGTGCATGGCGCAAAAGCCGGCCCAGCGGCCATCCTTCAGCGATTTGGAGCAGAAGCTGCAGCTCTGAACGCTTGTATGCATGTGTGTGCATATGTGTGTCAATGGCGATCTCGTGTTCGGCACTGGTGCCAGTGCCACTATTTCAGTTCATCATTAGTCATTGTGTTTGCGCGCACGATTCGTTTTTCACCTTGAGTTTCAACTTCATTCCTTCCAACCATCCTTGCCTGCATGTATGCTCCATCATCCATGGACACGTTCAATTCGTTTCGTTCATTAATCACAACACCAACAAGCTTGCATGCAGCTGAACAAGAGTTGTCAACAGTTCACAGTCAGCAGCAACACAAACCAAAGGCAATGGATGAGCAGCAGGTCAGCAGAGAACACACACGCGCGTGTATCGACAGGTGAAGGCAACGGCAGCATGGAGCGCAGTGCATGAAATTAAGGGCACACGCGATGATGATGATGATGATGATGATGATGATGATGATGATGATGATATGATGATGATGATGATGATGATGATGATGTGTTGTGCGTATGATGATGATGATGATGATGATGATGATGATGATGATGATGATGATGATGATGATGATGATGATAGTGGTGGTGATTGAGGACATGGGGAGAGGGAACAGGAAGCGATGGTGTAACACGTGCATGTAACGTGGGCATCAGTAGCGGGCGGTGCTGTTGGCATTATGATGTTAACGACTGGACAGCCTCCTGAAATGCACGAACGCGGGACATGGGCGGGCAAGTTGATGGAGGCGATCAGGGTCCGTTTGAAACAAGTGCTGAAAGCTGTCATAGGTGCAAAGGTGGAAGGTCGTAGCCACTTGCAGATACACAGACACAGACACTGACACACACAGACACACACAGACACAAGAGCACAGAAATACAAACACACACACATACACAAGAACACTGTAATACCAACACACATACACACATACACACAGCACAACACAACACAGCACCGCAGCGCACCAGCTTTGCCTGCAGGACCGCGACCCAGGCGTCGGCCTCGTCCTCCGTCGCCGCATACATCAGAAACTCGCGTGTCGGCATCTCAACACTGGTAGCGCCAAGTGAGGCGAGCAGTGGGTCGTATGCATGTGTGAAAGTGAGCGAGCGAGTGTTGGCGTGTGTGTATGTGTGTGTGTGTATGTGTGTGTGTGTGTGCGTGCTTTGCGAAGAACATGTACCAACCATAGCACACATCACAAGCAAGCAGCACGTTGACAACTGACCAGAATGCGTGAAACTTTCCCGGCACTTCTGTCCTCTCCACGCGTTTGCATTCACACAGGTCCAGCACCCGGATCGGTTGCGAGTCCTGCAGGCAATTGTGTGTGCGTGTGAGGGCGAGTGAGTGAGTGAGTGAGTGAGTGAGTGAGTGAGTGCGTGCGTGAGTGAGTGAGTGAGTGAGTGAGTGAGTGAGTGAGTGAGTGAGTGAGTGAGTGAGTGAGTGAGTGAGTGAGTGAGTGAGTGAGTGAGTGAGTGAGTGAAGGAGTGAGTGAGTGAGTGAGTGAAGGAGTGTGTGAGTGAGTGAGTGAAGGAGTCTCTGTCCCTGACTCTCTCTTGTATCTCAATTGAATACAAGGTAACACATGGACAACAGCAACATAGAACTTTACGCAAAGGATCCAGCGTGTGCAAGTATTGTGCCAACAACAGCACGCATGATAGCAAACTCACCCCGCGTTGGTTGTAGTAACGGAATTCGTTCTTTGTCACAGAAAACCATCGCACCTTCCATGTCTGCACACCCACACATATAAAGCAAGGTGAGCACAGGATGTGAGTGATTGAGTGCGTGCGTGTGTGTGTTTGTGTGTGCGTGCGTACGTGTGTGTGTGTGTGTGCATGCATGGGGGTTCTCACCTTTCGCACTTTGCCAAGTTTGGTCAAGTATCCTTCCTTCGATTCCGTCTGCGATTGGACATATATTCGTACACGTGTTGATGAGTTGTAAAAGGTGGGGGCGAAGCAGCACATTCGCACGCACACACGTACAGACACACACACACACACACACGGACACACACAGACACAGACACAGACACACGCACGCACACAGACACACAGACACACAGACACACACACACAGACACACGCGCACACACGGACAGACGCCGATAGACTCACGGAGGCGCGAAGGATCTGCATGCTGCGGCAGCGCTCGTCCTGTGGTTTCTTCTTCTTCTTCCGTCTCCTGGAGCTCTCCACCCCGCTGCCCCACTCCATCTGGGTTTGAACCTGGAGCACAAAGGCAGTGAATGCGCAGCGGAAGGGGGTGTTTACACGAGGGTACGCGAGGACATGCAAGTGTGTGTGTATGTGTATGTGTGTGTGAGTTTGTGTGTGGATAATGTGCGTGAGTGTGTGTGGATAATGTACGTAAGTGTGTGTGTGGATAATGTGTGTGCGCGTGTGTATTTGATCAACAGGTGGGTGGTTTGCGGCCCTGCGACACCCGTGACGCACGAACCTTGTCGTATAAATGCTTCTCGTACACCTCTCGCGGATACGGTGAGCCGAGCGTGATTTTGTTGCCTAGGAGGACGAAGAACAGTGTGAGCACGTCTGATGGACACAAGCGCAAGAAAATCACGCGCATACACAAGCATCTCACAGCACACCCACCCACACGCCCACCCACACGCACGCACGCACCCACACACCCACACCCACACCCACACCCACAGACACAGACACACACACACACGCACACACACACACGCACACACACACCACCACCAAGGATCTGGGAGTGGGAGAAACTGTCTTAGCAGAACTACTTCTACTCAGTACCCGTAAGAAATACTTTCTAGATTACCTACGTGCCACCACCACCACCACCACACACACACACACACACACACACACACACACACACCACACACACACCACCACCCCCCCACCCCCACCACACACACACACGAAAGACAAATGCAATGTACCGTTGCCGTCAAAGAAGCCTGGACATGCGAAAAAGTCTGCGAATGTCTGTACACTCGAGTACACAGATGGACCGATCTGAAATTCCTTGCCATTCCACGATACTCTGATTTCAATGGCACCCACATGTAGAATGAGGGAATGAACGGCATCTTTGGCCTCACACCCACACCCACGCACAGACATATAGATACAGACACATGACACCCACACCCACACACACACACACACACACAGACATATAGATACAGACACATGACACCCACCCACCCACACACACACATCTGCATGTACGCCCACGCTCGACGTGAATGAGTGAGTAGACCCAAACTCGCTCGCACTCCCCTCTCTCTCCCTTGTTGCAGACTCACAGGAAGTGCGAGACAGCGTGAAGGTTGCGAACGGAGAGGCAGAGAGTGCCTGTGCGTTCGCCTTCCTCTGAAGGGATCTCCCGCAACAAGTACATCCCAGGACCACCGTGCAGCAGTAACGTTTCCGCAGCGTGACGTGTCATGATGCCATGGAAGAAGCTGTGTGAGTGTGTGCGTAAGTCAGTGAGGGTGAGAGTAAGTGTGTGCGTATGTGCGAGTGAGTGTGCGTGCGTGCGTGTAAGTGTGTGTGTGTGCGTGCGAGTGAGAGTGAGAGTGAGTGAGAGTGAGAGTGAGAGTGTGAGGGAGTGAGGGAGTGAGTGAGTGTGTGTATGCGAGTGAGAGAATGTGTGAGTGGATGGAAAACAAGTGAACCAGTCAGTGATGTGTTTCTCTTCAACGATTGGGATCGCTTCACGAACCTGAACACCGTGAGCAGCTCTTGCCTCGGCAGCGTGTCCACATCCCTTGTTGCCTCGATCGTATCCACATCCGACGCAGAGCATCCCACCGTGGGGACGCTGCTGCCTTCATCTCCACCTTCATCCATCGTCTCTCTGCTTTGTGTGTTTCCTTTGCTCCAGCCGAGCGAGAGGACAACCCATAAGCCAAGCCGACGCCGAAAAATATAGGAAGATATCGCCATTCTTCACAACTGCACACACGACCACACCACCACCACACGAGACGAGACGACAGCGCATCTTCTGCCACCCTCGCGCCTCACTCACTCTCTCAATTATGGATCAGCAGCAGGACCTCCTTCCTGGCCAGCAGGTGGCCATGGAGTACATTTGCGGAAGTACGTGAGGCGTGTGTGTGTGGGTGTGTGTGCTTGTGTGTGTGTGTGTGTGTGTGTGTGCGCTTGTGTGTGTGTGCGCTTGTGTGTGTGCGTGTGTGTGCGTGCGCGCTTGTGTGTGTGTGTGTGTGTGTGTGTGTGTGCGTGTGTGTGTGTGTGTGTGTGTGTGTGTGTGTGTGTGTGTGTTTGGGTGTGGTGCTTTTTGTTTAATGCTCGCCTTGCCTCCAGCAGCTTGCGTTCACAAATTTGTCGCACGCGCTGTTGCGCCAGGCTGTGGACGTCGCACGCGCATCAGGCAGATGGACTCCCTTGCATGCACCAACTGCGGCCACCGCATCCTCTACAAGCCCCGCACAGCAAGGCGTAAGTGGTGCTGGTGCTGTGCTAGCAACGAGGTTTACCTGTTGTACAAAGAAAACACTACGCATGCCCAACGCGCAACCATCATGTTGCTTCTCTCGACCATACACACGCACTCACACGTGTTCACACACACACACACACACACACATACTCACAACCTGTTTTTGTTATCTGTTCCCCCCCCCCCTCAACATTAACAGCGGTGCAAGTCAACTGCAGATGAACACGGCTGGCGCACACCATTGCTCCCACTTTGTACACTTCCCTCTATTCAGCCTCGGTTTAAGTTTCGCGTGTGGTTTCTGTCATCGTGGACACGGTCGTCCTTGACGCCGTTGTAATTGCCTCTTTTTCACTTCTTTCTTGGCTTCCCCTTGCCTCGTTTTGCTCCCCTCATCGCGCGGTGCACTGTGCCATGTGACTGTATCACACTCAACATGAAGAGTAAAGCTCACACAGCAGCAACAACGAATGTGGCACCAAGCCAATATTACAACTCAAAAGCGAACACGAGTGAGGATGACAAAGACCCGCAGGGCAGGTGGGGGGGGGGGGAGGGAAGGGACATCAAGGAAGCACAATGCATGTGCCACCAGTCACTTGTGGCGGTGCTTGTCCTTCTTGTCCTTCTTCTTCGAGTCCTTGCTCATTTCCTCCTTGCGTCGCGCCTCGCACTCCGCCTGCCACGCAGCGCGGTCCCGCGCAAGCGCCTGCACGTGGTGTGAGTGAGTGTGTATGAGTGAGTGAGTGAGTGAGTGAGTGAGTGAGTGAGTGAGTGAGTGAGTGAGTGAGTGAGTGAGTGTGAGTGAGTGTGAGTGAGTGAGTGAGTGAGTGAGTGTGTGTGTGTGTGTGTTGTCTTGATGTAGCGAGGAGCAAAAAACACGCCACTCTCCAACACCACCATCCACATCACGCCTCACCTGGAGAGCGGCCTTGATCTTGGCCTCTTCGCTGCGGTGAATGTTGACGAGCTCATCGCGTTTCCCGCGCAATTCCTTCTCAATCTTGCGAATCTCCCCCTCCTTCTCGTTCACCTGATGGCACGGGTGATGGCGGTGTTGTTGCGGGTGAGCGGAGAGCGGCGGAGGATGGGACGAGGAGGAGAGCAAAAGGAAAACATCATCACACACACGCAAGGCAGAGGGGGCACAGACAGACAGGAAGGCACACCCACAAACACACACCACCACCGCCGCAGGCAGCACAGCACAGCCCACCTTCTGCATGAACTGTTCCTTGAGCTGCTGCTCCTTGCGGGCCATGAGCTCTTTGTACTGCCGCCGTTTCTGCTCATACACCTCCGTCAGCCTGCACTCGCACGCGTGCCACGTGGGGGGATGACACGGGAAGTGAGCGGAAGAGGTGAAGCCAAGGCAAAGTGCACACACAATAACACGCAAACACGCACACACACAGACACACACAGACACACAGACACACAGACACACACACACAAACACACACGCACACAAGCCAAACACGAAACACGAAACACGCAACACCATCACCCCCCCTTCCCATCTCTCCTCCACCGCATCTCTATCAACGCACGACTCCGGCACGTCCTCTGCGTCGCCGTCCGCCCCGCTGGTGGATGTGTGGCGGCCCGACGGCGCAAACCCGAGATCAACGAGCCGGCGCTGACGATAGCGCTCGTAAAACGTCGTGTGTGTCGACAGCCGCAGCACCTCAAGGTGTGTCCTGATGGTGGTGGTGATGGTGGTGGTGGTGTATGGTGAGTGAGTGAGTGATGAGAGGGATGGAGGCAAGGGCAAAAGCACATGTGTGAGGGGTCGGGATGCAATGCAAGCAGCACTGTGCACGCGAGCGTACCTGAGGAGGAGGTTGCGGAGACGAAGAAAGTCGCTGTGATCGTCGTTCTCAACTGTGTACATGTGTGTGTGTGTGTGCGCGCGCGCGTGCGTGCGTGTGTGTGTGCATGTGAGCGACCACGTCGCTGTTCAAACACACACACACACACACACACACACACACACACACACATCAGTTCGTGCAAAACCCTCTCCCCTGAAGCACCCCCAACGCAACACCCCAGCCCACCTTCGACGATGCCCCATGGGTATTGGCGGACACGAACGCTCTCGCCACCAATGACGACCTTCTCCTGACTGCCGACAACAGCCAGGGGGTACTGGTGTAGACGGAAGGGGGATGTGGTGGTGTTGGTTCGCGTGTGATGGTTGTGGCGCGGTGTGAGCGGCGTTTGACGCATCAACACGACGTGGGGGGAGTCCACACAAGCCCAGCAACCATGAAAGCACACACACACACACACACACACACACACACACACACACACACACACACACACAAAACACACACAAAACACACACACACACAAAACACACACACACACACACGGTCACCTTCACCTGGTTTGTGTCAACCTCTGGCTGGAACAGCTGCAAACCGTTGGCAGCAAACTCCTCACGAAGCTGAAGCCGGTATTGCGGGGGGGGGGGGCAAGAACGGCCAGATCAGAGTTGAAGGTGGTTGGATGGAGAAGTGAGCAGTGAAGAAGATGTGCACGGCCTTGTACGTGTTGGGCAGGGGGCCTGGACAACAACGACTACAGACACACACACAGACACACACACCCACACAGACAGACAGACACACACACACACACACACAAACATACACACCCACACACACACCCCCACACACATTAGCGCCATGACTGCGCGTACCGTTTGCTTGAAGCGCTCGAGCTCGGATTTGGTGATGGTGTCGGCCTTGGCGATGACAACAATCACATTGACCTGCACACCAGCCATGCAGCCATGCAACCAGCCACACAGCAGACCGGGCACACTGTGAGGCACATGCGATTGATCGCACACGACGCAGAGTCGGTGACGGCATCACCATCACCATCACAACAACAGCCACGACCACGACCTTCATCATTATCATGGTTATCATGGCCACGACGACGACGTTTCAACTGCTGGCGGTGAAGGGCACACGCACCTTGTCGCACAGCTTCTTGAGGGCAACGAGATCCATGGACTTGAGGCAGGTGCCCGTGGGAGAGACGAGGAACAGGCACGCGTGCACGCGGGTGTCCGTGTATGAATGCAGCTGTCGGTTCATCTTCAGCTCCTCCTGCAAGTCAGTCATGCAGTCATGCAGTGGTGCTCAGACGGTCAGTTCAACAGCACATCTTCACACCCAATGCACAAACTGCACACAGCACAAGTGCAAAACACACACACATATCCAGACACAGCATGAGCGTCTCACTGCGTGTGTGTGTGTGTGTGTGCGTGTGTGTGTGTGTGCGTCAATCTCACCTGCAGGTACTCCTCGAACTGGGCGTCGACGTAGTCGAGGAGAGGCTTGTAGGTGTCTGTGCGGTCAATCTGGTCGCCGTAACCGACGGAGCACGTGATGGTGAGCTGCAGGTCCACGCCGCCCTCGCTCACAACCTTGCAGCTGTGCTCGACGTGTGGCTCTTCATCGTGGTTGTGTGGCTTCTGCTCAAAGTCCGTGTCAAACAGGGAATCCAGCAGCGCAGACTTGCCGATGGCCGTCTCGCCTGAAAAGAGCAAGCGATCAATATGCGCGTGCATGTATGTGCGTGTATGCGCGTGCGTGCATGTATGTGTATGCACGTGCGTGCATGTATGTGTATGTGTGTGTATGTGTGTGAAGGAGTATGCAGTGTTGTGCTTGCATGATAAGACGATTGTGTAGACTCGTGAACGCAAACAACAAAAGCTTCCTCCCACATCTGTCCATGTCTTCACCCACCCCCACCCCCACCCCCACACATACACACACACACACACAGACAATAGGTTGTGGCGTACCGATGCAAGCAATGTTGAAGCGGAAGCCTCGCTGCTGTTCGCGGTTGACATACTGATCCGGCAAGGTGTCAAAGCCGACACGGGACGTTGCAGTCAAGCGACGCCCCGACGGGGCCTACGCACGACAAATAAAACCAGCATGCACACGAAAAAGTGTGAGTGAGTGAGTGAGTGAGTGAGTGAGTGAGTGAGTGAGTGAGTGAGTGAGTGAGTGAGTGAGTGAGTGAGTGAGTGAGTGAGTGAGTGAGTGAGTGAGTGAGTGAGTGAGTGAGTGAGTGAGTGAGTGTGTGTGTGTGTGTGAGTGAGTGGCTCAAACAACATAGCGCAAGCATACATCTGCAACCGAAACACACAACATACACACACACACACACAACTCACCAAGGTCCTCATCGTCGCCATCTTGGTCTTGTTGGCAGTTGTGTGTTTCGGTTGCACACAGGAGGCAAATTTGGGCTGGATAATTGTGCGAAAATACGACAACTCTTCCACAAGGACAGTGAGCGCTGGAGTGTGTGTACGTGCTGCCGATTTACATCCCTCGTCCCTGTTCCACTTGTCCCTTCTTGTCTTCCTTCTCCTCCTTCTTGCCTTGCTCACATTTTCAGTTTCACTTCCACTCTTCTCCACACCATCTGTTTATCGGAAACGAGGACACGATAGGTGACACCAAAAGCAACGGGAAAGGGCAGGCGAGCGAGGTGGAAGCGAGGCAGGCATGACACCGCCACGCCACGACCACCACAACCACCACAACCGCCATTTCCATCACGCGTAAAGCTAACACACAACCAAAGAGTCCAACCCCCAGACAAGCAAGCAAGGAAGGACGCGGAGGAAAAGAAGGCGAAGACAAAGGTGAACTCGAGGGGAAAAAAAAGACGAAGCAAAGGAGAAGAGAAACAAACCAAAACCAAGCACGCACGCACACTCACGCACACACACCAGACAAGATATCACCAAGAACGCTACCGCTCATGCAATCAGCAACCGTCGCTCAGCCGAGCATGTTGCGGTGCTTCTTGTCAACAAGTTCTGCGCGGTCATCCACATCGCCCTCCTGGCCGCACGGGTGCACGAGGCACACAGGGTCGCCAGAGACAATCTTGTGTGTATGGTGGTACTGCACCAGCTCATTGAGCGAGCCTGCGGCATGGATTTGGGGGGTTGTGTGTGTGTGTGTGTGTGTGTGTGTGTGTGTGTGTGTGTGTGTGTGTGTGTGTGTGTGTGTGTGTGTGTGTGTGTGTGTGTGATATTGTCGTGTGAGCATTGATGTGCAGACGCCATAAAAAATACAATGAACACAAATGCGCAGAAACACAGACACGGCCTCGGACCCAACTTTGTCGCCTTTCTGCCATACTGACCAAAGAGCTTGCGGTTTCCGACAACCTGGTACTGTCCATCTGGGGTCTGGTCAATCATGTAGTGCTTGATGCGCTGGCCATTCGCCACCCTGCAGCCATAACACAGCAAACGTGGGGGTGAGGGAGGGCGGTTGAGTGCGAATGGGTATGCTGTTCCCATCGCTCAAAACACACACACACACACACACACACACACACACACACACACACACACACACACACACACACACACACACACACACACACACACACACAGAGCACTACACAAAGCGGCAACGACACCGCACTTGTGGGAGAGTGAGTAGCCGAATCGGCTCTCGGAGACGCGAACGAGGAAGGTGCCTGGCTGCTTGTCCTGCAAGAGCTCCTCCGACTGCTTGCGGGTGATGACACCGTGGAACCACTCCTCAAAGGTGCCTGCAGACGACACACCGGCGCCCTTCTTCATCTCAACCTCCCGGAACCACTTGATCGACCTGCACACAAACAGGTGAAGCAGTGGACGAGTGAGAATGTGTGCATGCGCGCGTGTGTTTGCATACAGCGGTGATTGCATGACATTCAGAGCTTCTGAGTTGAACAAAACCAAAGAAAGGCGGCGCTACCACGCCGACAATTGACAACATCAACAACAACATAATCACACACGCACACACGCACGCACACACACACACACACGCACGCACACACACCCATACACAGACAGACAGACAGACAGACAGACACGCACACACACACACTCTCTCTCCACTCCTGCCGTTGCGCTGCACGTACT